CTTCCTGAAAAAAAAAGTCCCTTTTCTCTCCATCACTGTTGTTCCTTCTTGTTTGGATGAAAAGATTCTGAGTTTTTTGCTGGATGCTAGTGGTTCATGCCTTTAATCCTAGCTACTCAGGAGGCAGAGATCAGGAGGATTGTGGTTCAAAGCCAGCCTGGGCAAATAGTTCCCGAGACACTATCTTGAAAATACTCAACACACACTAAAAAAAGGCTGGTGGAATGGCTCAAGTGGTAGAGCATTTGCCTAGCAAGTATAAAGCCCTGAGTTCAAACCCCAGTAGCACCAAAAAAAAAAGGGGGGGGCTCTGATTTTTGGAGCTGTGGCTGCCAACTTGGGAACATAAGAAGTACAAGGAGAAAAGCTGACTTGTTGAGATTGGCAAAGCAACTGGGAAGAACCTGGATCTTTTGATGTCATGGAATTTCCAAACCAGCCAGAAATATACCCCCTTTCAGGTTCCTAGGATTTTTTTTTTAGATAAAAATCATTTTTAATAGTTATATTCATGCATTTTCTCTATTCTCATACAAACAAATATGAAGTAAAAATAAATGTATTTTGAGACCATGTAGGTTCTTTTACTTCTGTCTCTTTCAGAAAAAGACACTTGAAAATTCACCCCAACAAAATGTCAAAAAAAGAGGAAGACCAATGTTCTAGTAAACTGAAGAGTTTTGGAAATTGTGAAGAAAGCTGTTAGTCCGGATTAAAATTTTCTTGTTCCTGAGCAGGTGTTTCAGAGAAAATAAATGGACTCCCTGAGAGAGAAAGTTTGATTTTTTTGGCTTTATAAACACTAGATGAATAAGAAGCCACGTTACTTTTTTGTTCCTTTGGTCAGCATTAGAAAGAAAATTTATCCAGTAATTTCAGGAGAACCAAAACTTGTTTCTCAAAATGGTGGTTAGTTAGCACAAACTGACCTGTGGCATTGTTTTAAAGAACTGAGGAAGTATAGAGAAACACAGGTGCATTTGATCTCAATGCTAGGAATATTCTTCAGTTATGATGTGAGGTGGTTTTCATCCATAACAGTCCCTTATCATATGGGGACTGGATATTCTGAAGTTTACTAGTCTTTGGCAGTCATGGAGACATCTTTAAGATGGATTTTCCATCATGGTCCTTGAGCGCTATATGATTTTAGCAAATGTGAAAACTGCCAAACATCACCAAAAATGTATTTCTGTGAAAGTTCTAATTAGGACAAAAAATCTGTATTTTTTTTGTTTTGACAGCACACATTTGAGTGATGTCAGGGCCTCACACTTGAGTACTAGGTAAGCGGTCTTACCACTTGAGCCATTTCAGCTCAGGTTCCTAGATTTGTGAGATGATGAAAGGATTAGTGATTGAGCCGCTGCTAGCCAAGCACCCTAAAAGTTGCAGTACTTATATTGTGATTACGTGGAGCTGTACCCGTGAGTGTGGTTTCTGGAGGGTGCTGTGGTACAATAAGAAAGAGCACAAAATTTGAGAGTCAACTCTCTTCAACAAAATTAGAGATAAGGGTAAAATAGTTTCTGCCGGGTATTGAGGGGGTGGGGGGGAGAGGGAGGGGGCGGAGTGGGTGGTAAGGGAGGGGGTGGGGGCAGGGGGGAGAAATGACCCAAGCCTTGTATGCACATATGAATAAAAAAATTAGTCAACAAGAAAAGAAATTTGAGAGTCAAAAGCTGGTGATAACTGGCTCTGAATTAATAGTCTGAGCCTTGCTGTATGATATATAAAAGGGGAATTAATTCCACTTAACTCACACAACTGCTGGGAGGACTAATACAGATGAAAGCACTTTGCAACTGCAACAGCTGTGTGGATTCACTGTGAAGTTACATTTCCTACTGCTTTTTGACTTTAGCGGGGTGGGTGAAAGCATGCAGGTAGGAAGGACTTTGGTACATTTTGGTTTTGCCAACTACACTCTACCGTCCCTCTCTTTGGTGATCTCCACTGAAATATGCCCAAAGGTCTCAAGCTGCCATCTCAATGTTCAGTACCCTTTGGCTCCCTGGTTTCCGTACTAGAAGATTGTTTCTGTTCCCAACGTCTCCCATCTTGACTATCCTTGTAAGAAATGGACTCATCTTGTGCCTTCCCTCCTGGGACCCAGTTAATTGTCACTCACCAACGTGGTATGTGTTAGTGTGTGTCAGGGACTTCCTACATAGCAGGCATGTGCTTTTTTGGGGGGTGAGGACTGAGGTTTGAACTCAGGGCTTCACACTTGCAAAGCGGACTCTTTACTGCTTGAACAACACTTCAAGTCCATTTTGCTCTGGTTATTTTGGAGATGAGGGTCTTGCAAACTATTTGCCTGGGATGGTCTCGAACTGTTATCCTTCCAATCTCAGCATCCCAAGTAGCTTGGATTACATAAATAAGCCATGGGTGCCTGGCAGGTATGTGCTTTTATGGGGGCCTTAAATTGACAGTAGTAGACATTTTAGTAGGCAATGGCAAAAGGTCAAGGAATACACTTGGCTTCTTAGTGTTTGTGGGAGCTTCCAGTTGTGGGGGTGCTAAGCTAACAACTCTTTCCCCCTCTGGAAAGGACTTAATCAACACAGATGTGTACACTCCAGTGACCTCCTCTATGCTAGGTGACCTTGCCCCTGGCCAGGAGTGGGTGATTGGTTTAGGCTGGCATAATCAGACCTCTCAGGGCTTTAAAACTGGAATTGAGAGAATAGATTCGTCACTCCCTGTCAGATCTGTGCTGTTGGTTCTAGTTATATCTGAGGCCCATCTGGGATCCTGTCCTTTGTGTCACAATGGAAGTCTTCCCAATGAACCCCTTTGTTTTGGTTGGGATTACCTAAACTCCACCCGCTGAGACAGGGACTTGGTTTCAGGTGGTTTATTTGATTCCAGGGAACACAAGCCAGGGAATGGGGAAGCAAGACAGGGAAAGGAGAAAGGCAGTAGGGCATCGTACTAAGCACTGTGGGTTACTGGGGCTCAGTCCCTCTGGGTGATTGTATACCACCCCTTAGAATCATTTGACCTGAGGAAGGGAAGGCACGATCACTTATCATGCAACTTCCATCCCCATTGCTTGAGGCTTGTTCCTAGGGCTGTTGTTTCCTGGCATTTATGGGCCATGCCTGCCGCAGCTTGGTGACAGAGAAAGCCCCAATGTAGAGAAGAGACGTTCAGGTTTTTGAAGTGCAATGCAGAACTGTTTACAGCTGCAGGAGAACTCAGGTGAGCAGATGCAATATTGAGAAAGACATCTACAGTGTCTGCCATATTCCATCTTGGCTTAAACTAGGTCTCTTTAGGTTTCTGTCCCTCTAACCGAGAAATGCCTTGTTGTGCAGCTCACTTCTTCCTCAAGTGGCAACCGTGCCCATATTGGGTTAGTCTCATGCACAAGGCATTGTCATCAGGAGCACTTTCCTCAATCCGTGGCTACTGATGGGTCATTGGATCAAAAGGACTATGCAGCATGTGTGGTTTAACTGAAGGGCAAGGGGTCAAAAATGGGGTGTGATGGTGTGCTCCTGTAATCCCAGCTATGTGGAAGGCATAGGTAGGTAGGTGAAAACACAAGACCCTATCTGAAAAATAACTAAAGCAAGAAAAGGGCTGGGTGTGTGGCTTAATTGGTAGCACCTGCCTAGCAAGCACAAGGTCCTGAGTTCAAACCCCAGTACTGCCCATAAAGGAGGGACTTGTTGTTCTTGGTCCATGGAGTGATGCCTTCATTCATCTGGTAATGAGCACTGGGCACATCACAGGAGCCAAGCACCTGGGGAAATAGTAAGGTGATCGTTATATTTGCTTCTACAGTGTACAAACAAGTCACTTTCAGCCCTGTGTGATCTCAAAGTCTGATGCCTAAACTGAATTATTACAGACATCCTATTTTAAAAAGCACATGAGTAATAGAACTTAATGATGAACCCCAAATTAAAACAAATTCCAGTAATCTGCTAATTTCCTAAACTCCCAGAAAGCTGGTTTTCTTTTTACAGGCCTGAAAACAAGCCAACTACTTTTATTTGGAATGCACTCAACTGCAGGGAAAAGAAACTTGATGTCAGAGTCTCATAGCAATGGAAGCTTCTTTCCCTCACAAGACAAGAAGAATGATGGGCAGTGGTTTCTGGTAAGAGTTCAGTGGCTCAACTGTGCTGTTGTGGCCTCAGACTTGGGGCTTGCTGTCATCCAGTGGGTGAATTTTAAAAGTCTGTCCGCTCTGTCGAATTCGTCTCCTGAAGGGAGGTTTTAGGTAAAAGTAATTTCAGAAACTGAAGACATTAAAAAAAAAGCCCAAATCAGATTAAAGATAATGACCATGTGTTTTAGGATTTGGGGTGTTCTTTTTTTTTTTTTTTTTTTAAAAAGACGTTTTTCCTGGTACCTGGTGCTGGCTCGTCTCATATTTAAAATGGACATTTCTTCTTTGTTTTGTTTAATTCTGTTCTGTTGCTTCCTTTGCCCTGGGATCAAAGTCCTTGCCACCAGTAGGGGCAGTCAAGTCAGTGAGTAAGGACTCTGGGCCCACCAGTCTGTCTATCTTCCACAATGTTTGACCGACAAAAGGGCAATTTCATATAGTCCAGTGTAATGATATAATTATCATCATTTTGTGAGTACATATCTAGTGCTGATTATTGAATAACATTAACAGCTCTTGAGTGACCAAGCTAGGTTTCTAGCACTGTTTGATGTCAGCACCCCTGCCGCCTTCCCCCAATTTTTATTGAAAATTTCTCATCTTTTGGCCTCCGGGCAATAAAACTAAAGATAGACTTTTCCTACTTTTTGAAGTTTTCTATATCCCCTCAGAAAATGTGAGGAAATATAGCCAGCCTCTTCTGGAAGATTAGGAGGGCAGTAAGAAATCGTAGCCATCTCCACAACTGACATTTGAGCCCTGCTTTCCACACAGTCAAGCCTTTCGGAGGCAGCCAGTGAATGGCTTGTATCAAACTCTATATTTAGGAAGAACAACTGTGAGCTATGACAGGAATTCTCTTTAACACTTAGCCTTAAGTCGAGTTCCCCTTCAGCCCCAAGTCAGGAGCAGCTCTCACTACCGGGAGAGGCACAGAACACTTGAGCTATTTCAGCTACATGAAAAGCATTGGAATTGAGATCGCAGCTCAGAGGACACCGGGCGTCCTTTCCAACCTCCAAGGAGCTTTGTTTTCTTGCACCTGACTACCTGGGACTTTCCTCAGGCAGTAAGCAAATACAGAAGGCAGGTAAGCAGAAGGACCCGGCACTGGCACCTGGGTTTTCTAAAGGACATTTCCTTGATATGTAACTTGAAGTGACTACTTATAACTTTGTAGGTGTGTGACCATGAGTGTAGCTTCTTTGTCAGTTCCCTGTTCATTGGTGGTACTGCTGCTTCTGTTTTATAAATTATGTGTGTATGTGTGTGGGGGGGAAGTGCCAAAATAATCGAGCAAAAGGTGACATCAACAAAATCTCCCCTGTCCGGATATGATAACTTTGACCTTGAAGCTCTGACAACCAGCATTATAGTTGGTCAGCTGCAGGCTGATTCCTGCTCTAAGCTGAGAATTAAACAGGTGAATTGGGGGCAAAGAAAAGCTAAAATGGCTAGTCTTTTGGTTTACCTAAATGCAAATTATTGTCAGAGTTTTACACAGTACAAGTTTAGAATGATTTTCTCCTTTCTCTAAGAACCAGGCTTGATTTCGGTTATAAAGTTCTATCAATGTCTTATATGTAGATAGAACTGTCTTTTTGAAAGCTTCACTTTGGTCACAGTTTACCTGTGCCCAGCAAGTTAGAGGGCAGCGCTCACTCTCTCTGAGGCATGGGACCTCAAGAGTCTCTCTTGTCTCCCAGCGTATTTAAGGCAGAGTGAATAAGGAGTTAGTTCAGACAGCTGAACATCTTTCTACACCCTCCTCAGGAAGTATTTTTAGCAGCAGGACAGAGATAATTCCCTTTGAGATAGAGCTTTACCCATCGACTCGACCTTTAAAAAGAACAAACAAAGCTCTTCTTTCCAAATATTGATTCTCCCCTGAATCTCTTCTTATTAAATTAGTGATAGTAATACCAACAAATTTTAGTAAGTCGAAGAGTTTTATTTAGAAGTTAGATATTATGTGCTGCCCAGTCAAAATTAAATGGGGGAGGGGGTATTGTCCATGACTCAGCATACAGACCATTAAAAGTCCCCACTGACTTTCAGATCTGCTAGGAAAACTCAACTGTGCTTGGCTGGCAAGCATTTTCATTAAACTATAGGCATTGTAAAAGTCAAAAGACGTCTTGTTAAACTTTCAGTGTTTCCAAATTTTAGCCAGAGCCAGGAGACAGACACAGTAATTGAGTGTTATAAAGGGTACCTCTGGATGAAAAACAGTGGCCTCAGTGGGAGTGAGGTGTGTAGCTAAGGCTTAGCTGGCTTTTTGGTTCCTGGAGGAAGCATGCAGAAGAGGGAAGGTGCGTCCTATACTCTCCATCCCCTGATGGAGGTGAATGCAGGGCCAGAGCAACAGCCAGGGAACACTGTCTATTTTTATTCATCAGTGTGCTTTGCCCTGATTTCGCTGCAAATAATGAGGACAGTAAGAACTGCTGCTGAACTGTTTCTCTAGCCTGTTCATGAGGAATGAGAGCTGGGAGCTACAGATGTCTCTATAGAAGATTAACATGGATGTGAAGAGATTCGGGTGCAAATGAGAACACAGCAAAACTCTATAGGAGACAAGGCCCATCCATCTATTAGGCTCAGAATTTCCAAATCACCCTACAGCAATCCAATAGTTAATACAGTCAGTGAAAAATCAAAGTCAACTTATTTTTAAAATCAATAGAGCATAAACAAAACAATTATTCATTGCTTATTTTTTACATTTCAATCTGCTATTATAACAAAGAAATCTCCTAATTCCCATGTTTTACATCAATGTACAATAACTTTTTTAGAGTTCTCAAGTGATATTAGTAAAATTTTAGTTATACATACACAGAGAATACAACTTGCTGAGATATTTAAAGTCCTGTGAAATTATTGCTTTGCAGGCCTTCTATTAGTTTTTGAGGAATGGAAACCTTCAAAATTAAGGCATTAAGTATTTCGTTTTGAAATTGAGCAGCATACTCTAGATCCAAAAATTAAAAATCCTTCATGTTTCTTTGACACTGAAGATAGCAATCTACTTGAAACACAAAACAAAATGCATCACTGATTGTTCGATTTGTGGTTGTAATTTAATTTTTGACCAGATTAAAAATAATCCTACCTAGATCTTTATGTTTGGAAGCTAGATTTATATATTATCAAAACATTCAGGTGAAACTTTAAAAAATCTCCATTGTTTTATGTAAGCAGCTCCAAAAACTATCAGGATACACTAATTATAGAGGTTTTTTAAAAATATGCAATTGTTTAACTTCATATAGTAGAAACTAAGACTTTAAAGATCTACAGAACAAAGCCTAAGTTTTTCACAAAGTTCTTCTCAGATCTTTTATTTCTACAGGTGATGAGAACTGTCCTTCCATCAATTCTTCTCATACTTAAGGCTGCAGGTCAGACAGCACTCAGAAGTCGTTAACTCTGGGCAATGGCAGTAAGCAATAAGTATTTGCAGCATGCATTAGAGTTCAGAAAGCCTTTCTAGCAGCACTGTGTAATTTTGAATCTTACCACAACCTGTGAAGCAGGTAAAATTGAAGGAAGAGGAAATGGGTCTAGAAACATTGGAGGACATTGACCAGGTTATGGCAAACACCAACACTGCTCTCTGTTCATTTACTCATGTGTGAACACACACACTCATGCCAGTCAACAGAGAAATCAGTCAACTTATTTTATAGCTAGGGTTTAGAACACAGCATGTTTTTAATTCAATGAGTTTGTCACGTTTTACTTGGTTCTGTGCATGTTTAACAGATGGAGCTACAAGAACAGGCCTGAGCTGGGCTATTATTGCCTGTTCCTTTGGCCCCAGTAAACCAGTTTATGTCCCCAAATGTGCTCCAGTCACAATGCTGTAAGTCAGGCCTCACTTGTGTCGAAAGGCAGTGGGAAGAAAGCACTTCTGCATCTTGGGGATCTGACATGGTCATGGAAATCCTACTTGTCTTCTGAGTCCGTTGTGTTGAGAGGAAAGCAGGGAAAGGGGTGATGGCCTGTGTTCACATAGCCTGGGCACCCTGCAGAGGGCTGAGGGGACACGCAGTGGAGGAATGAGGCCCCGCTCCTCTGCTCTTCCACACAGAACGGAGAGCGTCCTGGCAGCAGGGTCATCCTACAGGCCATTTCTCTTTGGGTAGTCAAGGAAGAGCAGGTGCTCTCAGTGGGCTAACTCGCCACCCTGGCAACAATGAGTACAGGTCAAAAAGGCCCGAACAAAGGTGTTTTATTCCCACCACTTTTTTGCTTGGCTGTTCTTGGCAGAGGGTCAAGAGGGCAGAGAAGGAGATGATAGGGCCTTTCAAGTTTCTGATCGCCTATCATTAGCATCAGGGGCGAGGCATCTCAGCATTTCTCGTCCTGAATGATTAATCGGAGCTCTAGTGTTCCCTCTCTCCGAGGCCTTGAGAAGGAAACTATCCAAGTAACTTTGAAAACTGAGACTGAAAGAATATATGGCCAGTGAAAGGGGTGACTGCCCAGTTGAATCATGAGTTAAATTCTAATTTATCAAGACCTTGAATCTGAATGCTGCTACCTCTAACAGTTTCTTACTTGTTTTTTTAGGGATAAGACTTCGTGAGTATGTCGAAACAGCCAGTTTCCAACGTCAGAGCCATCCAGGTAAGTAGGTATATTTGTGTTTTAACATCAGCTCTGTGACTTTTAGCCTGATTGCTTAACAAGTCCTACTTACTGTGATCATTCACCTCAAACTGATTATTAACATCAAGAAGAAAAGAATGTTCCTTTTTATAAGACTCTCAAGGAACAATTGAGAAAGGATACAAGACTGGTAAGGTATAACTGAGAAAAGGGAAGCTACTTTTGTTTAATTATTCTGTATTGTAAGATAATCAAAGTTTATGAATGAGAACTAAATTACCTTCTACACAAATGTAGCGTGTTCACAATAACCTATTATATACTTTTTGAAGAGCTAGAAGAGAGGAGCTTGAAGGCTCCAAAATAAAACAATGATAAACAGCAGGAAATGCTAATTACCTGCATTTGATTGGTACATATTGTATGCATATATTAAACTATCATACTGTTAAAATAGCATACTGTACCCCATAGATATGTATAACTATTACATGTTAATTGAAAAATGTAGTACATTTTTTGATATGTATTTTTATATGCTTATTGATAGAGAATCAATTTCCATTGTTCTATCTAATTGATATATGGATATATTAATGGGTCACAGTTTGTTTAACTCATCTGTTTCAAATACATCTTTTGGGGCTGGGATTGTAGCTCAGTGATACAGGGCACAAGTAGCACATGTGAGGCTCCAGATTCAATCCCCAGCATCAAAGAAATACAATCAAATAAAACATATTTCCTTAAATAACATCTGTTTTTTAGTCGAGTTCTTCCCAATACTTGGATATTTATCTCTTAAAGTCTACGTGTTCTCCTCATGCCATCCCAGCAATCAAATTCTTTTGTTGTTTAAACTGACCTAAGTGTCACCCTCAAAAAAGAAGAGAGAGAAGCAAACATGTTGAAACAAAAATATAATTATGAAAGTAACTTTCAGTGTTTGTGGGGTCTTTTCCTGGGAGGTGTTGAACTCAGGGCTTTGCATTTGCTAGGCAGGGGTTCTCTCACCATGAGCCACACTTCCAGCTCTTTTTGCTTTGGTTATTTTTGAGATATGGTCTCTCTCTCTCTCTTTTTTTTTGCCCAAGCTAGCCTGGACCATGAGCCTCCTATTTAAGGCTTCCTGCCATAGCTGGGATGACAGGCATGCACCATCCTGTCCAGCTTCTTTCCATTTGAGATGGGATCTCAGAAACTTTTTTGCCTGGGTTGGCCTGGAACCATGTTCTTCCAGATCTCAGCATCTCTTGTAACTTGGGAAGACAGGAACATTTCACCATGCCCAGCTGTTTATTGAGATGGGGTCTTGTGAATTCCCTGCCAGCCCAGCCCAAACCATGATCCACCTGATCTCAGCCTCCCAAGTAGCTAGGATTACAGGCCCACCTACTCGTTTTTACTCAATTTGTTATTTCTCTTAAGGGCTTTGCATTTGACTCTCAAATGATTCCCACCCTGAGACTCTCTTCACAATGCATTTTTAAAAATTGCATCTTTCCTTTCCATCAACATGGAGCCCACCTCTGCTTTCTCCAAAGGAACTTGTTTTCTTTCTGGACTTTTCTGAATACTGCAGCACAGGCAACAGTTCCTGAATATTTTAACTCTTATACACCACCACAGCATAAGCACAACCACAAAGGATTGAGCTTGTTTTGGAGTGGCTCACATGGGCTGGACTGAGAACACATCATCAAGGGTTTCAGAAATTCTAGCATACACCAGTGGTAAAGATGGGTAGAGGGACATTCCTTACTTGTCATGACTAATGAACATCCTTAAATTGATGAAATTCTTAAGTGGCAAGATGTTATATGCAACCTCTGGAAACCTGTCATTGGACAAGCTACCAAGGAGGGGTCAGTACATTCCACACTGTGACATTTAGCCCTCTAGCGTCTACCTAGTAAGGCTCTGACATATCCTGACAGTGACAGTGGACATTCTTCTACCTCTGAGACCTACAAGCATCATTGAGCCTTTGAATTTTCTCTTTTACTTGGTGTGCAAGTAGACTCTGAAATCAGACTGCTGGGCTTCTGAGTCCAGCTTGTGTAGGACTGTGGGGAAATTACTTCCCTCCATTTTACCTCTCTGGCCTCCATTTCCACATCTGTAAAATGGAGATAATACTAGAACTCACCATGTAGGGGTACAGGTACATGATACTGAAAACAAGCCTAGTAAGCACTCATTGAAGATCCACCATTATTATAGTTATCATTCAGGGGTGCTTTATATGAGAGTTATGTGAACTAGTATGATTTGATCACTGCACTCAAAGCTCCTTAAGTGTAAAACATAAAATTTCCTCTATTTTTTTCAGGACACAAAATACAGTCTTGAGCTGCTTTTTTCTTCTCTTCCCTTTAAAACTGAAAGTGTATTGATTTTTCTTCCATAGTGCTCTCTGGCCTCACTCAAATCTGTACAGAAAATTCACCGGCATTTTATTTACTAATTTTGACCTTGGTATATTTTTAGATCTGTAATATTTTTTAAAGAAACTGCTGTTGACTATTTTCAATAGCTGTTATGCTGCATTATCAAAAAATCCATCCACTTTAGCAACAACAAGGGCAATGCAGTTGTTCCTTATGGATGTAGTGTTTGTTGCTTCTTTCAGTATATTTTGTGCCACACAAAAAACACAATTTAATGCACCTGTAAATGAAATATTATTTCTTATGGCTAAATAGGATCAGCGCTATCTGATATTTTTCTCTCATCTTTGCTTAATCTTAAGTAGGGTACATTGAATAAAATATGAAAATGGTTACACCATACAGAATGGTTTATAGTAGGAACATTGTCTAAGTTACAGTACTCTCTGAAACAAATGGAAAACCTGAACGATGGGGCAATACCCTCGTTGTGTAAATACTACTTACATGTTCTACTCAATACATTTTAGCCATACTCACATCTTTTTATTAGAACTCTATCTCTAGTTCAGGTCAACTGTCGTTTTCTGAGTGCATGGTATGTGCCAGGCACTGTGCCAACTATAGAGTACACAAAGATTAATTGATACCTGATTCCGGCATTGGAGGCACTCAGAGTCCCCAGTACCTACTAGGGAACTGTAGGGTAATTGGGAAAATTGTCTATCTTCTTTTTTGCCTCTATTTCCTCATGGGTCAAAAAGGGAATTAATAACAGTGGGTAGCTCCTAGAGCTTCTGAGAGGGTAAAATGAAGTTAATGCATGTAAATGCTTAGGCCAGTGCCTGAATAATTGTAATTGCTTAATTAATAGCTATTATCATCAATCAGTCATCATCATCCTCTAGTTCAGCTGTTTTCATAATATGTTCCCTAGAATACCAGTTTTATGGGGATTTTAAATGAAAGGTTTCCCTAAGTAAGTGTTTGGGAAAATGTCTCAGAGTCAATAACGGGCAGGCTTTTCAGGAGTTGAACTGGTGCACCTGTGTGTGTCAGAAAACATGGAGTCGAAGAGTTGCAAATCTCTGCTACCTTCATTCACTCTTAGTTTACCTTTCTGTAAAATGGGGGACACTATACTACTTAATAGGGTTGTTACAATGAATAAGATAATTTCTGGCAAGCTTCAGGTTTACAGTACACAATTCCCCAGATGGCTCTTCCAACCATCTGTGTAATGTGTGGAATGCCCTTGTTTCAAGTGCTCATCTCCTTCGTGTACCAGAATAAGAGGGCAGCCAGAGCTAGATCCACCCTCTTATTCTGGTGAATAGTTGTCTTTCCAGTGCATAATGAAGAGATGACCTTTGAATTGTAAGGGATTCTAAATTTACCCTTCTTTCCCATTGGATTAAGTCTCAGCCAAGGGTGTAAAAACATCCCTGAAGGAATCAGTTGATTATTCATAGCTTGGAGAGGGACTTTGTTAAGCAACTGATAAAGTTCTGTAGAGAAGTTGGCAAACTTTTTCTATGAAGTACTTACTGCCTAGTAAACATTTCAGGCTTTGAGGTTATTTAGTCTGTTCCAGCTACTGTACTCTGACATTATACCATGAAAGGGCTGTAGGCAATTGGTACGTGAATGAATGTGGTTGTTTTCCAATGAAAGTTTATTTACAAAATTAGGCAGTGGGCTACCTTTGTCCCGTGGACCATAGTTTGCCAACCCCAGTTGTAGACCCTCCAGGTCGCTTGTTACATCCCACTGTTGATGGGAATGGAACTGTGGCCAAGGTAACGTCAGCGCACTGTACAGCAGCTCTGCTCCCTTCAGATGGATGACATTGACAGGTGTGGAGGGGAACCAAGATCTGCAGGAAATCTAATCCCATCAGCCATCTGCTTGGTGACTTTCTCTAATGAGACCAAGTGATACCAGCCACTGGCAGCATCTGACAGTCCTCCTGCTCCCTTCTGAACACACTCGTTTGAGAACTATCACAGGCCTTCTAGGGCCTTGGTTCATGCAAAGCCAATCTTCTCTGGGTTGTCACTTGTCCTTTCTCTCCCCATTGATCAAAGTATCTTATTATTTGTCTTCTCCTGTGAGATCTGAGAATGTCACAGCTGACTGGGTAAGAGTCTTGTGTCCTAGTCATAACTCTGCTATGTGATCTTTTTTGTTTTTGTTTTTGCAGTTCTGTGGATTGGACACAGGGTTTTGTGCTTCCTAGGTAAGCACTCTACCTGGTCCTCATGATCTGCAAAGGGAGATTGTTTTAGTAAATGACCTCTAAGCCCCTGCCCAGCTTCTAATCGCCTGTGCATCTCTTGAGAATAGTTTCTAAGGTTCCTTTCTGGGATGGCACTGATAGCTACAGTTATTCCCTTACTGTGCACTTGCTACAGTGCAATGGCATTTCCATAGGTCATAAAGTTAGGCTTGCAGAGAGGAAATAATGCTTCTGGAATTACCCTGGATAAGGAGGAGGATGAGAGCTTGAGCTCAGTTGTGCAGTCTGAGCTTAAAGCCCAATATTTCAGCATTATCTAGTCTTGTTACCTTGACACAGAGCACAAGGCTGGATGGATGGCTGTGGGCCATCTGGAGGGTAATCATAAG